ATTTTTAAGAGTTTCTTTAAGCAAAAACAAATGGGAATTGGGCAGCATCCAATGTCGCAGAAGGGCTCTCCAAGGAGCTGCACAAAATGAAAGACTTATAGGCAGGAGAGAGCAGGAACAAGGACGTTATAACAGGCAAAACCAAACCAAAACAAAACGGGTTGATTATTGCAGTTACTTTCCCTTAGCGGGTAACAGGGATCAATCAGGCAGATTACCTACCTACTAGGGATCAGGAGATTCCTGAATGACTGGTTTAAGATTCCATTTTGGGGAGAACCAAAACTGTAATAAAGTCTCTGTTTGAAGATATTGGGCTTAACATAAGTGACTCCATTTGGGGCCTACTGTCTTGTTTTTAACAGATCATATAGCTAGACTGTGGCAGAGCCAGGATTTGAACCCAGGCTGTCTGACTGAAGTCTAGGCCTTCAACATAACCATACTTGTTTTCTCGATTCTGGCTTCCCTTGTGTAAAAGCATCAAAACAAAGCTAAATCACCTCACATCCATTAGAATGGTGTCTTCGTCCGGTGGCGCTGCTAACAAAATACCACAGGCTGGGGAGCTTACAAATAACAGAAATTATTTCTTACTGTGCTAAAGGCTAGAAGTCTGAGATTAGGATGCCAGCATGGTTAGGTGAAGGCCCTCTTCTGGGTCAAAGACTTCTCATTGTATCCTCCCATGGTGGCAGAGACTAGGGCATTCTGTGGGGTCTCTTTTATTAGAGCACTAATCCCATTTGTTAGAGCTCCCCCCTCAAGACCTAAGCATTTCCCAAGGGCCCCAGGAGACAGAAACATTCAGACCATAACAAATGACTGCTATCAAAACAAAACAAAACAAAACAAAAACCAGAAGATAACAAGTGTGTTTTTGCTCATTTTTAAATTGGGTTGTTTGTTTTATTATTGGGTTTTAAGAGTTCTTTATATATTCTAGATACCGGTCCTTTATCAGATCTATGCTTTGTAAATAGTTTCTCCAAGTCTGTTCTTTGCCTTCTCATTTTCTTTATATACGATAATATAACGATTTTTATCTAAGTTTAATTTTATAATTACATCATCTGGATGTTCTTCCTGTTTTCTTCTAGATGTTTCCTTCTAGATGTTCTTTAATTTAAATCTGTGGTCCATTTTGAGTTCATCTTATGGAGGATATGAGATAAATATCTAATTTATTTCTTCTTTTCTTCCTTTTCTTTTCTTTTTTTGGCACTTTTGTCAAAAATCGATTGACCATACATGTGCTGATTTCATTCTAAACTTTCACTCTGTTCCACTGATCTATATGCCTATCCTTGAATCAATACCACACAGTCTTGATTACTGTGACTTTATTATAAGTTTTTACATTGATTAGTGTACGTACTACAACTTTGTTCTTTTTCTGATGGGATTCTTTATTGTTTTCCATCACTCAGCCTTGTAATGAGTGGTCTTTTCCATCTTCCCATGGGGTTTGGAGCGGGCCCAGGAGACATACATCTTCACTGAGTCCGCCATCTCAATTTGGCCCTCCAAACTGCTGCATCACAAAAATATTTATGGATGCTGGACTCTGAGGATAGATGAAAAGAAATGGTCACTGTCCTTCAAAAAGTACATGGACTTGTGGGGAAGATAAAACCATTGCAAGAACATTTAGATGCTTTAGAGCTGGAAGAAACTGACAGACCACGGCACCCCAGCTCTCTTCATTTTAGAGATGGGGAGACTGAGGCCCAGGGAGGGAGGGGAGACACAAACAAAAGTTCTGGTGGCTTTAAGAAGGAAGAAGCCCCATCGTTTGGGGATCAGAGAAGACTCCCCGGAGTAGGAGGCATTTAAGCCTTTTCTCATTTGCCCCCAGAATGCTCACTGGAGGTGGTTACGGCTGCAGCATTTACCCAGAGATAACTCGTGGATTATAGTCCTAACCTGACCCCCAAAGTTTGCTGTGAAATATCTCGCTTTTTTATTATTTTCTCAACACCCTAGTATATTGATAGTCTTTGGAAACAAATGACAGTATAGTCCTAACCTGACTCCCAAAGTTTGCTGTGAAATATCTCGCTTTTTTTATTATTTTCGCAACACCCTAGTATATCGATAGTCTTGGGAAACAAATGACATCATTCTATTTATAGCATTCTGTTTTTTTTCCCACTCTTTAGTCCCCCCCCCCATGGCATTCTGTTTTTAGTAGTGGTATGTACATTTATAAAATTAATTCTCGATTGCTAAAAATGTCAAATCCTAGAAAACGTAGCATTCTTAACCCGATGTTAAATTAACTCTGGCGGGGAGGGGAGAGGGGGGAGGTACATGAGGTAAGAGGGGTCAAACAAGTGGTGACAGAAAGAAATCTAACTATGAGAAGTAGTGAGCACACAGTGTAAATATATGTATGCCTTACTGTTAAAGTGTACAGCTGAAACTTGTTGGATTGCGTTAACCAATGTCACCATAAAAAATAAATTAATTAATAAAAAAAATAAGGTAACGCTGGCATAGAGCTGCACTTTTTTCCATTGCTATTTATTTATTTATTTATCAGTTATATTTATTTATTTTTTTAATTGAAGAAGTGATTTAAATTCCTTCCGTGCACACGCACACACCTCCCCCCTACACTTTTTTTTTTTCTAAGGGGGACCAGGGTTCAAATGGGCTTTGGGGGATGGTAGGAGGAAGTAAAAACCTGGCATGTGGAGTGTCAAGTGTATTTGGAGAAGGGTGTGAATGTCCTGATCCTACTGCAGAAGTGCTTAGGGACAGAAAAGGGAAGTTGAGGCGGGATGGGTGAGGAGAGGGTGATGCCAGAGGCATTTAGCTCTGTCACCGCACCCCCTGCACAATCAAAACGATTCAAGGGAGACAGCTGAGAACTGGAAGCAAATGTTACTGCCAACGTGGATGGCCCAAACCCAGAGCTAGACAATACTTTCAGGGCAAAAACAAGCCCTACCGTCTCTTCACAGAGCTGGATTGTTTCCCCTGAGTGGACAGGTGACCATCTGATTAATTAGAAACCAGGAATTTTGCATTTCATGTGTGCGCATAGGTAAATATCAACAACAAAATCCACTCACTGCCAAAGAGCAGGGTCACCAGACACAGTGAGATTTCCAGGACCTTGGCTCCAAAGTCAGAGAACATTTGCATGTGATCCTCGAAGTCTAGCACAATCTGATCATTTGAGAGACCAGTAAACTGAAGCTCAGAGGGGCCCTGGCACATGACTACTCCCCAAGGTCAGTCAACAAATGAGTGGCCGAGTGGACCATTAGAATTTGGTCCCTCTGACGCTGCTTGGTGTTTTTGAGTACACAGGTCCCGGGGATGGGTGAAGAAAAGTTTTTATTTTCATTTTGCAATTGGCCCTAATGCAAGGTAGGGGCTGGGAAGGGAGGAGCCATAGAGAGGAATACCCCCCTAATATTTTATTTCACAAATATTTATTAAGCACCTACTGCAAACTTGGCCCCGTGCGGGAGGGGGCCAGTGGTGGAGACACATTTCAGGGGCAATGACTGATTCTGGAGTTTTCAGTGACATTTTCAGTGGGATGGGGAAGGATGCAGATATCGATCCAAGAATCACACACACTCCTACATACTACAGACATGGAATGTGCCAGGAAGGAAAATAAGAGAATGTTTTCCAGCATGTTCCACGGGCATCTTGACAGCATGGGGATCAGGACACGCTCCCTAAAGGAAGTAACGATTGAGCTGAGGATGAAGACATTGCCACAGGACCATACAGTGAATACTGCAAGGACAGCCCGTTCTCTGTCCGCCTCCTCACTAAACTCCCGCTTCAGCAGCCAGGATTCCCTAAGCTGCCGGGAACCTTCCAGTAACCCATTCCCTGAGTCTGATGACACTCTGGGCATTCTGAGACTGATGATCTAAGACCTGTTGTTACACAGGGGCCAGTCAAGTACAGACAGGAAAGCAGGGTGTGCCTCCGCAGAGACGAATCTGGTTGGCTTCTCCCGTCAGCATCCTCTAGGGAAGAAAATGCTTGTGGGGTTTTCCCTTCCACATGCTCCGTGCTCCGTGCTCCGTGCTCCGGGGTGATGCCAACTTTCCATCTGGCCGCTTCCTCTGCTCCTTCCGCTCCCCTGCCTGACAAAGACCTCACCCTCTTCACCTCTCTGGCCCACCTCCTCCTGGCCCAGACTGGGTCTCCTCTCTGCTCCCCCTGCCCCAGTGAGATCACTTTTCCCTGCGCTCCTTTGGCACTGCTCCCAGGACCTGAGTTTCCTGAGCACAAGGCTTGTGGTTTCTTGACCTTATTCTCCCCACTGGCCAATGTCTACCTTAGAAAGTCTTCTGAATCTGCTGGGCCCCCTGATTTGAATCACAAGGTTCTGCCACTCCCTAGCTCTGTGACCTTGGGTAAGTTACTTAACCTCTCTGGGCCTGCATTCTCTCCTCTTTAAAATGGGAATAACGGAAGGTCCTTACCTCACAGGGTTAATACACGATTAAATGAGAACTCACACAATAACTCACTCACTATGCTCGCTATCGCATACTAAACTCCGGGATATACAATGGATAGGTATGTCATCAATAACCATCCCCTGGGTTTCATATGGTGCTACACAATTATCAAGCCTTGACAGGTACAAAGAGCTTTTTGTAATCTGTCTTCACTTCCAACGGATTATCTGTCTGAGCAGGATCCCCAAGGCCCGCTTTAACCAGCTCTCTAACCCCTGGAGTTCAAGTACTGGACACGCAGGGCGGAAGCCGTGCACCCAGCGGGAGGGCGGGCACGGGGTGCTCGGCGCAAGGCCTGGGATGTCCCGAACGCCGTGTCCGCGCTCTGCACCCGGCCCCTTCCGAGCTGGGATCGTCCGGGTTGCACGTAGGACAGCTTCTGGGAACTGGCGCTCCGCGACCCGTGTGCACAGCCCGGTGCGCTCGGCCAAGTGCGCACGGCCCTGTGCCCCAGTGACTCAGCGTGGGGCGTGTGCAAGCTGGCGCCCGGCCCGGGCGGGCTTTTGCACTCGACCCGGCTCTTTCCCGTTATAAAGCAGCCCGCTGCGTGCTCGGCTCTACCACGCTTTCTCCAAGTCCTAACCGTCGGTCTGGTAGCTGTCTCCGGACTCCAGCCACCGCTTCAACTCGCCATGGATCCCAACTGCTCCTGCGGCACCGGTAAGGGGACCTGGGCCGGGGCTGGGACGCCCGGTGTTGATTGCAGTGCTAGAGAAGCAATTTGGGGCCTCTCCTGACCTTCCTAATCACTGAGTTTCAGGGCTCCGATGGCTCCTTTCGGCCCCTTTCTGAAGCGTTCGGTTTACCTTTCTCTATTGGCTCCCTTTTACTGATAAGATCAGAGTTCGCCACGTGTCCAAGTTCCCAGAGCTGGTGGTAGATCTGAACTGTTCGTGGATCTGGGACTGGAACTCAAGATCCTAGCATCTTTCCACGTTCAGGTCTCCAGGGACCATTCTCACCTCTTTCTCCCTGCAGGTGGCTCCTGCACCTGCGCCGGCTCCTGCAAATGCAAAGACTGCAGATGCACCTCCTGCAAGAAGAGTGAGTGGAATCTTCTCATCTCCCTAAATGCCTCCCACCAGGGCCCCCACCCTCCTTTCCACCCTGACGGGAATTTAAACAGGGCGGTCGTTGACACCCCTTACGGAAGGCGGCACCTCTACAATGGCCCCTGTCAGGAAGGACAGGAGTCCTTATTCATCCTTTGTCCCAAGCACTCACCTCTGCTGCTTCCTTCCCTTCCCCAGGCTGCTGCTCCTGCTGCCCCGTGGGCTGTGTCAAGTGCGCTCAGGGCTGCATCTGCAAAGGAGCATCGGACAAGTGCAGCTGCTGTGCGTGACATCAAGAAGAGCCTGCTCCCAGATGTAAATAGAGCAACGTGTACAAACCTGCATTTTTTGGTGCATCCCTCACCCCTTTGCTACATACATGTCCTCCCTTTTCTATAAATGACATGAATGATAATAAAAGTTGTTGACTTTATTTTGACTCTGTTTTCCTTGGCTTGCCCACCAGGGCTGGAGTGGAGGATTGGATGGGAAGTGCAGAGAGCTGGGTTCTGGACAAAAGTGTTTGTTACTCTATAATAAACAGCCTTAGCCAAGCCAGGAGACCTCACTGAGAGGCTCGAATGGGCTTGGGTAGGCACAGAATCCCTTCCGTTCTCGAGTCAACGTCAATGGTACAGAAACTTCTCAATCAGGAATTCTCATTCTCTGGTTTCCCTGCTCAACTTTAGGATTTAAGGCTTGAAAGTAACTTAAGGCTAGAAAACAAGTTCCCACCTGCTTGGTTCCTACATGGTCTTAAAAATTCTCGTGAAGAATCGGTCTTTTTTTTTTTTTCCCCTATCCATCCCAGACCTAAATCTTGGTAAATAATAATTGCTGTGAAATGACATAAAAGAACAATATGAAGCCCACATTTTTAGATTCAACACAATTTTAATAAACATATAAACAAAGACTTTAAAACACTGCACATTGTTCATCAGAAGTGTGCACTGAGCACTGGAAACTACACAAATGCCTCCAATGCGCGGGCCACACACACTTGGGGTAGCCCTGCCCCCGCCACCCTCATGGGGAAGCACCATCACTCTTGGCTTGCCCCGTGTCACTGACAGGACACCTGCTACCCCAGAGAGCTTCCTGTTTTAACTTGGCTTTGAATCTTTGACAGTTCCTTCCTAGGTCGGGCTGAAATCTGGCCCTGCATCAAAATCCAGCCCTTGTGCCTAGGGATTTGGAGGGAATTGCCTGGCCTTTTTCTCAGCTAGAAGCAGTATGCCTGAGAAAGCTGAAATCTGGCCCTCCATCAAAATCCAGCCCTTGGCTACTTTAACCTAGCCAAGCGCCTAGGGATTTGGAGGGAATTGCCCGGCCTTTTTCTCAGCTAGAAGCAGTATGCCTGAGAATCGGTTCCAGATGATTTCCTGTCAGCCTGCGATGGTTCTGTGGTTGAGAGGGTGTTTTTGAGGAGCAAGGCCCTGAGTGACTTGTAATTAATGGCAATGGTTAGGCCCCCTGGCTATTTGTGGAGGGAGTTGCTGTTTGATGATGTAAAATCAAAGAGAAAGACAAGTCACAGGGACCTGGAATCAGGATGGTGCTTGGCCACAGGTGTCCTGTGAGAAGAGGGGGATCACAAAAGCCAGCCTGTGCCAAGTGCATGGGTTTTGGTGTTATGCATCCTGGTTCCCAGCCTGTTTTGCCACAAGTGGTGTGGACTGGGCAAGTCATTGAAACTTTCTGAACCTCCATTTCCCAATTTGTAGAAAGGAGATTATAGCTCTATATGAGGAATAAAAGCTAGGGTCCTGGCTCCTGGCTGGGGCTTAATAAACAGTGGACATTATGATCGCTGTGTTCACACTGACATTCGTGGTGAGAGAATCCCTTTTAGAGCCCAGTGAGTTCCTGGGAGAAAGGCTCGTGGGTTTGGAAGCATTACTCTGTGTTGGAGGTTAAAGGTGGGATTGAAAATTTGCTGACCTCCTGCCAGAGGGATTTTGCATAAACTCCTACAATAAGCCCCATGGGACAAGACTCTGTCATGGCATTTGGATAGACAAAAGCCTTTCCCACACATTGTGTCATTTGTTCCAAACAGAAGCCAGTAAGAGAGTAAAAATGCAAGATTTGAAGAGATTGTGCCATTTTCCAGAGAAGTTAAGCAACCTGCCCAAGGTCATAAACTCAAGAGTCATATGTCCGAATCTAACTACAGCTGGCCTCATCTTCTGGCCACAGCTGGCTGCTCATGCTGTCCCTGGGTGCTAAATGTTGCCTATTACTATTCTGAGCTAGAAGGACCTTTCAAGGAAGAACCGATTGTGCCCCTGGATTGAGACATGGGAACTGAAGTCCAGAGAGGTGACACAGCTTTGCAGACTGCCAGCTTTGTGCTCATGCCCCTGCTGCCTTTGGACCACGTTTCAGCATCCTCATCTTTCGTGCGAAGTCAGGATGTAGGGTGCTGGGTGAAGGCATGGTGCTGCAGTCGGCATGAGTGAGCGCACATCCCACCTGGGTCACTAGGAGCAACGTGACATACCCTCCCTGTGGCTCAGTCTCCTCCACGGTAAAGGGGCAGAATAAAACCATATGATCACAGGAGTAAATGAGTTCATACATGTACCGCACCAACTATGGGTCCTGCCACAAAGTAAGTGGTCTGTAACACTAGCTCTTTGCTTATGATTGTTCTACATAGCTTAGGGCAAATTTATTTACCTCCAAACAAATAAGCCAGGGTTGTTGTGCCAGGCTATGTGTCCCGTGGTTTCCTCATCAACCCCATGAGGATGTAGACTAGAGAGAGTCCTTCACTCTTCCCACAAAATTGTGATCGGCACTAAAAGATGTCAAGTCACGAAGAGATTGCCTTGTGCCTTTGCAGATACCTATGGAAAACTGTCATGTCTTCTACCACCTACACCATATTTTTTATTTATCATTGTTCCTTGAAATGTTTCATACTTTCTCAAACACATTTATATGGAAAGCAACCTCTTCATCACTACGGATAGTGAGAACCTGTGTTCTTCCAGATGGAGAAGGGGGCCACATATATATTTATTTCTCTTGATGGATCACTCTCATTGCTGCGCACGGCTGAGCTCGCGACTTGCTCTTGTTTCAATGGCTTCAGGCAGTTGAGAAGTGTTATCAACAGACCTAGCCCACAGGCTGGCTTATCAGGGAGCTTCCCTTTTTCCCTTGGGGCCTGACTGTCTTCAATTTAGTACACAAATGCCTAGTTCTGTGACCTTGAGCAAGTTGCTTTAGACTTCTTCTGTTGAAGCGGTCCTGTTAGTAAAAAGGGCTCATAGATCAAAATATTTCCCTTTGGGGGTTCTGGGAAGGGTACACAGACCCAAAGTGATTCAATCATGGCCTGGCACTTATTAAATGCTATGTCACGGTGAGAAGAATGAATGGGGAAATAACCGTTTTCTTGCCGTGTTAGTTAAAACCTAGTCTTTCCATCAGCTAAAGTGGTCCCTCCTTTGGGGACAGCCAGACTGTGGGAACTGCCTGGAGTGGGGTGTATAGCAGGCTGTGGGGAGCACTAGCGCTTTCTGTGAAGGACGGGGACAAACACGTCCGTGGATCTTTTCAGGTAGAGATTGGAAAGAAGGCAGGACGCACAAGCCTGGGTTGGCCAAGCTGCAGTGTGCAGCAGGCATGGGGCTGAGGGCCTGATGCCGGAGGTGGGGGAGGGGGGGTGCAGGGAGAAGAAATGCAAGTGGGAGCCCCCCGGCCCCACTGCGGGCGGTTCCGCTGCACACACCTCCCTTCTGCCCCTCCCCTGCTCGCGCCAAGACAAGAACGGGACTTTTTGCACACGGGCTCCTGGAATAGGCAAACGGGAGGATACGGGGGAGGATACGGGAGGACAAAGGCGCGGTGGGGTGGTGGGGGTGGGGGGTATGAAGGCAGCGAGGTCACAGCAACGAGGGCGTGGAGAACAGAGGAAATTTTCCCTGGGGAAAATTGGTAAGGGTCTGGTCGGAGGCTGGGACACCCCGGCCTG